GCACTGTTTTAGGAATTTAAATGCACTGACTCAGCCAACACTTGCCAGTGTCTGTTGAGTGTTATGCACGTGCTAGGTGTTAGGCTTCCCTTGGGAGTACAGCAAACAGCCTCTGTCTCCAGCACAGTGGAAAGGGCAGATGGCAATAAGAGAGGGAACAAATAAGACAGGGTGCACATTGGGTGCAGCAAGAGGAACAAGGGTGAACACCTACTTGGAGGGGGTGTTGGGGCAGAGGCTTCTCAGAGGAGGTGATATTTAAGCTAAGACTAGAGGATGAGAGGTGTCATCTGTGGGTAGAAGGCTCAAGGTGAGAAAGCCCTTGATACCTGGAAAGGGCCTTGTGATCCTGAAGCAACCGTGCCAGGCAGCCAGGCACTGCTGAAGAGACCAAGGCCCCAGAGGTTGACAGGACAGTCAGAAGAGCAAGGAGGCAGGCTCAGGTCTGGCCCATATGGGGACTGGCCTGATAGTTTTCTGTGATTGCATTTTCATGTTTATTTCTTATTCTAGAGAGGTAGGTGGTGGTAGTGTACTTGGGAACTGCTGTAATTAACCAGTCTGTCCTCATCCTTGCCCCCATAGGTTGATATGGGAAGTCTGGATGCCTTTTGTTCGAAATATTGTCACCCAGTGGCAGCCAAGAAACTGTGACCCAATGGTGGACTTCCTGGATAGCTGGGTGCACATTATTCCTGTGTGGATCTTAGATAACATACTGGACCAACTAATTTTCCCCAAGCTGCAGAAAGAGGTAGGGTGCAAGTCATGGGAAAGCTGTTGTCAGTAACCATGGGGACTTGTTCAGCATTTCTCTTCATTATCTTAGTGCTGTTAAAATGCCTGGAATTAACAGAATTTGGCAACCCTACTGTTGTTCTGTAGTGTTTATTTCAGCCTTTTTCTTAGCACCTTTCTCCCCAAGTCCCCATCAAAGGGGAATTCATCTTCTTGATTTCTTCAGTAATATTAGAATTATGCTATTTCTGAGATATAACAACTGAATGGGCATATCATTTGGGTCAGTGTCTGCTTGGGGGAAATGGAGTGTAAGATGCCTACAACGTAGCCTTTAGGCTCATGAAAGTGCTTAGTACACAGAATTTTTCAGAGACAGGTGCCATTTTGTGCAGACACTGAATGTACATGTAACTTGGGTCCATTCTGTTGTTTATTTACAATAGTGACTAACTGTCCATAGTGACAGTGTTGGACTCAGTGTGCTTTAGTGTAGTTTTCCTTGACTGCCTCTTGGGTATCCAAGTTTTCTGTCCATAAAATGGAGATCCTGTCTGTCACACACATTCAAAAGATTGTGGCCCTTGGCCAGAGCATGGGGCCTCTTCCCCCAAGCACAGGGCTTGCCTTTTAGCCACACAGAGATGTGCAACTGCCCCACAGGCCACATGAACTGTGTCTTTTTCCCCATACACTCTCAGGTGGAAAACTGGAACCCACTGACGGACACTGTTCCCATCCACTCCTGGATCCATCCATGGTTGCCCCTCATGCAGGCGCGGCTGGAGCCACTCTACTCCCCTATCCGCAGCAAGCTGTCCAGTGCCCTGCAGAAGTGGCACCCCAGTGACTCCTCTGCCAAGCTCATCCTCCAGCCCTGGAAAGATGTCTTCACCCCTGGCTCCTGGGAGGCATTCATGGTCAAGAACATTGTGCCCAAGCTGGGTAAGGAAGTGGGGAAGATGCATTCTAAGCCCAGCAGCTTCAGCACCCTGGTGTCTGTGGCCAGCGGTAATGATTTATAACATAGCCTTTGGGCTCATGAAAGTGCTTAGTACACAGTGTTTTTCACTGAAAAAAGGTGCCATTTTGTGCAGACATGTAACTTGGGTCCATTCTGCTGTTTATTTACAACAGTAACTAACAGTCCATAGTGACAGTGTTGAACTCATCATGCCTTGTGGTTTTTCTGACTGGTCCAGCTTTGGCTTCTGGTAACAGGACAGCCACTGGAGTTGTGAAATTTTTGTGGCATTTTACTTTAAATTACTAGGGAGTTATTGGCGGGGTTAGAGAAAAAGACTGATTTTTAAGAACTGCTATGTCAAGAGTTTAAAAGACTGACATTATATGGTGACAGTGTGCTCTTTGTACTTCTATGGCTTTGCTGGGACTAAAGCTGAGCCTGAAGCCAGCTTCTCTTCCAGGGATGTGCCTTGGTGAGTTAGTGATTAACCCCCACCAGCAGCACATGGATGCATTTTATTGGGTGATCGACTGGGAAGGGATGATCTCCGTCTCCAGCCTGGTGGGACTTCTTGAAAAGCATTTCTTCCCTAAGTGGCTTCAGGTACACTTTGTTGTTTTGGGAAGGGAGTTGGGAGGGATTCTACTAATTTTCTGCCAGAGCCTGACTGCTGGTGCAATTACATAATGAAAATGAATTACATGGCAGGGTAGGAATGAGTCAAGTACTCATAATAGTGGCCACCATTTATTGAACATTGTCATGCACCAGATGCTGTTCTAAGCACTTTATTTGCATTATATCAGCTGCTCACAGCAACCCTGGGGGTAGGACTGTGGGATCCCTGTTGTATAGACATGGAGGTTGAGGCTCAGAGTTTACATGCAAGGGTACTTGCAGCTAGCTGTAGATTTCAGAACCCATACTGCCATGCTCCTGTAAAGTGGTATCACCAGCTTGTAGGCCCAGGATTGAAATTTTCCTCTTTGGAAATTTTGTTCCCATTTGTTGCCACTGTGAATGCAAGTTTTTTCTCTTTGGCAGGTACTGTGCTCCTGGCTCAGTAACAGTCCAAATTATGAGGAGATCACTAAGTGGTACCTGGGTTGGAAATCCATGTTCTCAGACCAAGTGCTGGCACATCCCTCTGTCAAGGACAAATTTAATGAAGCGCTTGATATCATGAACAGGGCGGTGTCCTCCAATGTTGGTAAGTGAAGAGTCCCATTTTGGATATCCTGGCCCTGAGTCCTGGGTCTCTACATCTGGAAATGGCACAGAATCAGAGTTTCTAGGTACCTATAGGCTGTCCAAACTGTACGTCATGCTTTGTACCTATAGACATTGACTCTTACCCTCCTGGCTCAGTTACATGGTAAGCAGGTACCCATTGTCCACATCTCCTGTGACTGGGAGGGGTATTTTTCCTTGAACAGAGACTGCTTTAAGCTGGATTCAGATAGTGTTGGTCTAACCCTAGGACCCACACTTTTAACCTCTGTGCTCTGTGGCTTTTTAAGGTTCATCTGCTTAGCCAGACTTGAGTGTGCATATCTTATAGTGTGGAGTTGGATGGATGGTCCAACACTTAGTGATTGCTTAACCTCTCTTAGCCTCATTTTAGTTGTAAAACAATAACCACACTTACTCCATAGATTACAAGGGGGTTAAGTGAGTTAATGTGTAGCACTCAACAGGCGGTGTCTTTATTGTGTCGGAAATAGGCAGTTCCCTGTTCATTTACGGTTACCAAGGACTAGGTAAGACATTCTGCCTAGATCATGATGAGTAAATGAGAGTATATTCATGTGTCTACATTTGGGAGCCCATTTCAGCCAGTCTGATGTCACAGTGTACAGACACTGCAAGGCAAAGGCCATTGTTGCTCATGAGCTGATTCACAGCCTTGAAACTGGATCACCTAGTCTAATGATATTTCACAGATGAGCTCATAGAGGCCAAGAACTTGCTCAGGGTCACACAGCTAAAGGGCAGCAGTTGGAACTGGAATTATTTCCTGAGTCTTTAATTCTTTTTTTTTTGAGTTGGAATCTCACTCTGTCACCCAGACTGGAGTGCAGTAGCTGCTCCCGGCCACCGCAGCCTCGACCTGCTGGGCTCTGGCAGTCCTTCCGCTTCAGCCTTCCAAGTAGCTGAACTACAGGCGCGCGCCACCACGCCTGGCTAATTTTTTGATTTATTGTAGAGATGAGGTCTCACCAAGTTGCCTAGGTGGGTCTTGAACCCGCGGGCTCAGGCAATGCACTCACCTCAGCCTCCCAAGTCGTTTAATTCTTTCTAGTTAGCCTATTACTTGAAAACAGAGAATTCATAAATTATATAAGTTAAAAATACAAGCAGGGTAGGCCACATGTCTTTCAAGGTAGTGAAAGCTGCCTTTTGGCAGTGTGGAGTGGAAACTACAAAGCAAGATGGAAGGGAATAGTGGCGTATCACTGTCAGGGTATCCAGCTCTGAAAGAGTTAATCCCTTGCAGGTATTTCATGTTGAATATGTAATAATCTCTCTAGTTCCTAGGTATTTGCCACAGATCTTCAGACCAATTTTTATGTGATACTGGCCAGCTGTCCAAACTTGCCCTTTAAGTTGTGTCTTTGAGGCAGACCTGCCTGTCAGTGAGTCATGGGCACTCTGGCATACCCAGACTCGGGCCAAGTCATGGTATCAACTTCCATGCATCTGGGAACACCGCTCCTCACTGCCCTTCCCCCTGTATTTCTCAGGTGCCTACATGCAGCCAGGAGCACGGGAGAACATCGCCTATCTCACCCACACAGAACGGAGGAAGGACTTCCAGTACGAGGCCATGCAGGAGCGACGGGAGGCTGAAAACATGGCCCAGAGGGGCATCGGTGTGGCTGCCAGCTCCGTGCCCATGAACTTCAAGGACCTCATTGAGACTAAGGCTGAGGAGCATAACATCGTCTTCATGCCTGTCATCGGGAAGCGACATGAAGGGAAGCAGCTCTATACCTTTGGCCGCATCGTGATCTACATCGACCGGGGAGTGGTGTTTGTCCAGGGCGAGAAGACCTGGGTGCCCACTTCCCTGCAGAGCCTGATCGACATGGCCAAGTAGATTGTGGCAGACTCAGAGCAGGCTGGGGACTTGCACCTGAGAGGGACAGGCTAGGAATAAACAGTATTTTAGGTCATCTTCAAAAGAGTAACTTCTCTGTTCAGGAGCTACGCCACATCAGGCCAAGTTCTCAATACAGGATGGCAAATCGGTGTGTTTCCTCCTCTTCTTCCTGAAATCTGGCCCACTGCCACTGAGTTCCTCAGGCCCTCCATTAGCCTTTCCTTGTTCTCTGGTGGCAGCTTCTATCTCAGCCAATATGGAACACATCACAGCGCATTCCAGTCCATCTCTGAAGGATCAGATGTCTTTTTCCTGATGATTTCAAGGTCCTCACAGTCCTGATAATCTGGTTCTTCCCGAAATGCCCAGGTATCTATGGAGAACTGTACTAGCTTCTGTACAGGGAACCAGTGGACAGAAGTATCATTAAATACATCCATGTACTGTGAAGTCTGAGGAAACTCCAGCTCCTCCAAGCCTTTTAAAATCTGAACAGAAAAATTCAAACAAACAAAAACCTGATAGTCACAGTAATAACCGTGCTTCTGGATTAAATTTCCATTTTATTTGCCACCCCATTATCCTTTTAAAAAAATTAGAAATAGAATATTTGGTTTAAATGCTTTTCTTCAATGAATTTAGAAGCCCGATGGGCAGTGGATATGATAGACTATGATGCTGAGAATAAAGGAAATGAGGAAAAATCCAAGAGATGCACTAAAATGTTCTAGCTTTCTCACTGACAGGATAGTAATATGACTGTGTTCACTTGGCCCCTGTGAGTTCCTTCCATGCATGTACAGATAGAATTCTGTCCAGTAAGGGAGAAACAGTATGATTTCACACCCTCTTTTATCCCAGCCCTCTTATTCAGATAGATACCTTTGCAACATAGGGATAATGTTTCTGCAGAACTCTCGCCAACAACCTAGGAATGAAAAACCACAATGAGGAGGTATAAGAATGGTTTCATAGCAAGGCAAGATGATTTAGTATAGCAGGAATTCAGAAAAATACTTGGGATGTGGATTAGGTTAAATGGTACAAAATGCAAACACCCCAGTAACTGCCCGTTTCATCAAGAGGTAGAAATGACAAGCAGATACCTAAGCACTGAGGCAGAGGGAATGGAGCTGTAGGCAGAAAAATCAAATAGTTTTTCCTGTTTTTCAAAAACATTTCTGTGCCTCATAATGGGAGGGAGGAATTTTGGGCAAAAAGACTCCTTGCTTCACAGCTTAACTCAGGATTCTGGTATCAGTCTTTAACCCTTCACCCAGTTCTCCATGGAAAAGCATTTCCAGGCATGGAATTGTCATGGAAATGTTTTCTGTCTGTGGTATGGGCTTCACCTCAGGGCCTGACCCAGCGTTCTCAGGCTTACCTCTCCTCAAGTCCTTGGAAACTGTTCCCGATGATGACCATCTTGGAAAGGGCTTCTCCTGACCAGTTACTCCACAAGAGATTGTTGTACAAGGCTGTCCCACAGTGGAGCATGTAAAAGATGGTGGGCTCCCCACGAATACTCCGCTTCCCTTCCTGGGGAGACAATATTCTACGTGTAAACACTCTTAAGTCCTTACTGCAAGGGAGGAGAGGTAAGGACGGGGATTAACAATGAGTGAGAGACCAGCTAAAGGGTCAAATGGAAAAATTAAATTCAGTTGTGGGACACTTACATTTAGTTTGCATGAAATCTATACAATTAAAATGAGTGGGAAAAAGACCAGAAATCATGGTGTCCAGAAAGAGCTCATGTTTACTTAGGAGATGTTTTTTGTTTTTGTTTTTTTGAGTTGGGAGTCTCACTCTGTCGCCCAGACTGGAGTGCAGTGGCCGCTCCTGGCCACTGCAGCCTCGACCTGCTGGGCTCCGGTGATGGTTCCGCCTCAGCCTTCCAAGTAGCTGGAACTATAGGCGCATGCTACTACGCCCAGCTAATTATTTTTGATTTATTGTAGAAATGAGGTCTTGCCAAGTTGCCCAGGCGGGTCTTGAACCCGCAGGCTCAGGCAAACCACTCACCTTGGCCTCCCAAAGCACTGAGATTACAGGCTGAGCCACTGAGACCGGCCTTACTTAGGAGATGTATGTCTCGTATACACAAAAGCCGTGGACTAACAAAAGGACGTCATGGGTCTATAACAAGGACAGGAGGGATGGCAGTGATTACTGTCCTCCATGCATGGTGTTCGGTAATCCTCCATGTTACCTGTGCTAGTTTCTGCAGAACCCCCCATATTGAGTCCAAGTGTTCCCTGGGTGTAAAATCACCCCTTCTTGACAACCACTGCTTTAAAGCCAAACTCCTTGGCAGGGATCATAAGTCCTTTTGCTCTTTGGCCCCTGCCTACCTCTGTGACTTCCCCTCCCCTCTTTCTCCTTGCAGCTTCCCTGTGGCTCTGCACAGTTGCCTGAAATCCCGGTTGTGTCCCACTAGCAAACTTCTGGCAGAACTGCAGATCCCAGCTTAGGTCCAGGAAATCTTCCTGCCTCCCTCCAAACATGTCCTGACTTACCTCCTAGTGCAAAATTCTGCCTCACTGTTTCATTCCTCATACCAGGCCACACACCCTTATGTGACCCTGGGCTCTCTGAACGCAGGGACTGGTTCCTGTTTATCTTGATCTCCTCAAAGCTCCCCGCACAGAGCAGGCACTAGGAAGGATTATCTGAATTGAATGACAGTGTTTTAGACCTTGCCAGTATCAGGGAATGACTCTTCTCTGTTGGGCCTAATTTTCATGTTACATAATAAGCAATGAGATGACAGTTTCAGGACACACAGAGGAATTAAATGATTATTTTATAATCTCCAACATGATGCAAAACTAAATTCAGAGGTATTTACTCATACTGTCTTCAGCCGTGTGCTTGTGAAATGAATTTTTTTCCAGAGGTCTCAGAAACGTCAAATCTCAGCTTTGAGTGGTACAGGTGTGGGAAAAGGGCTAATTCACAATTTACAACTAGGTGCCATGAGCGTGACTGGACTTCCTCGGTCAGGGGAAAACTCAACCAAAAAGACCTCCTTTGAGGCACCCAGACTGTGGCTTCCTTATTTATTTATTTTTATCTACTTGGAAGGCTGAGGTGGAAGGATTGCCTGAGCCCAGCAAGTTGAGGCTGCGATGACTGTGAGCATGTCACTGCACTCTAGCCTCGGCAACAGAGTGAGACTCCAACTCAAAAAAAAAAAAGTTTTTCTGGCAGGGGCACAACACAAGCCAAAATGTGGGTAATTAATTAACTGGTCACTTAGGACAGGCACTGGGAAAAGCAAGCAAGCGGAAGTGAGGAATAATGGCCACTCCAAAGAAAAATTGGTGTCCACGGGCAGATCCTGGGTCAGTGTGGTCAGGATTTTCACAGCTTTCTCTGCTCCTCTTTTCTAAACCACTTACCTCATTTTCTCTGAGAACAGTCACTCCAAGGGTATTAAGAACCGCGATTTCAAGTTGGCTAAACAGAGGGTCATACACCCAACAGTGACTTCTGGGAATCTAGAAGGGAAGAGTAAGTTGTCATCCCAAACATCTTGTACATCATGTGTAAGAACAGGGGTGGGGGAGATGAAGGTGAACCCCCAAATTTACCTGGCACTTTTCCAAGAAGAGAAGCAAAAACATTAGCTGGTTCCTAGCTATGATGCAGGTGGCAAAGTTCCCAATGCCATAACACACACACTTCAAATGGCAGGTTCCTGTGACCAGGGTCTCTCCTGGGATGGAGTCAGGGACCACCACTGACTCATCTATGGATGAGTCAAGATGTAGGTTTCCAAGGGCATCCAGAAGAGTCCCCACAGGGGTCTTCAGTTGTTCCAGATACTTTGTAAGACATGTGTTGATGGTTTCTGAAAGTGCAAGTCCCCAAATGCAGTCAGAAGGCATGCCCTGACCCCGCAAATGAGATCATCCACACATGTCCAAGACAGGGAGAAAGGAAGCAGGCCAGTGCCTCTTCAGAGAGAAAAACTGCCAGCCTCACTCCCAAACGTGTATGGGACGTGCAGCTGTGTCCACCACAAACTGACAGGCTGTCCTGGGCTCCAGACTCCCATAGCCCCAAACCCAAGAGAATATTTCAAGCAAAAAATATGTTTCATTCATGGACACAGTTTCCATTCAAAACTCTAATGTGAACTCTAATTTAACAAGCTCCTGGTCAATGTAGGCTATGCTCTGAAATGCCTACTTTTAAAAATTATAACAAAGAATAGAGCATAGCTCTCAAAATCATATTATAAATGGATAGGAATAGGTATGTTTAATGTGTAAAATGTTCAGAGAAAAAAAGTAGGCTGGGGGCTTCAGAAATCTAAGGAACAATACTCTTTAAAATCTTCTCATGTTGAGGTAGGCTCTGCTATCTCTCCTTTTATATACTTGTACTGAATTAATCGAACAAATCTGTAGGCAAAACAACAAAAGCTATACATTCCAACAATAAGATACCAATTTGCACTTAGCAAATTAGCAAAGATATCGGTAAATAAGACCCCAATCTAGGAAAGGATGCATGAAATATGAGCTGTTTAGGTCCTTGCTGGTAAAAATTGATAAAAGCTTTTTGGAAAAGAGCTTTACAGTGGATATCAGGTTGGCCACTGCCTTTCACTTAACAATTCCACTTCTGGGACTGTATCCTAAGAAGGTCATCCTAAGTTTGGTAAAAGCTTTATGCTTAAGGTTGCTCACTGCAACGTTATGGATAATAATGGCTAAAAAACAAAGGAAAAAGCTAAATGAACCTTAATAAAAATGATAACTGATGTGTTCCTTCCATGCATAAATATTATGTTGTCACACATGCTGCTTAGGAAAATATTATAACTGCATGGGGGAAAGGTACATGATAATGTCAAGAAAAAAAGATCAGGATTAAATATAAATTTCAGCAATAATGACAATGGCAGCTAACATTTACTGCCTTCTGTGCAGCAGGTGTGCATGATTCCAAGCACTTACCAGCCTCATTTAATTATCAAAACTATAGGATGTATACATTATCATCCCCATTTCATAGATAAAGAAACTGAGAGTGAGAGATAAGTGCCAAAAGACACAGAGCTGTAAGGGGTGGGAGAGTCAGAATTAGAACCCAACATGTGTACCACTCTGTAAAGCAAAACGTCCTCCTGTGCCCACAGTCACACCCTCCTCCCACTCCTACCCCCTACCTTCGCCAGATGGTACCCACCTAGTGCTGAACTCCAGAAATCAGAGATAAGCAGGTCCTTTCTGTTGAGAAAAGATGGCATGGTGATGTCTCATCCACTTCAGGGCTACCTAACAGTGACTACTGATCATGACCTGGATGCGCAGAGGATGAAGTGTCCTGTTTATCATAAACCTTACTGAGTGACAGTAAAAGGGCACATGCTGAGCACATCCAGGGCCAGAGCACATACTGCTGGGGCTCAGAGAGCACTGTGGAGAAGGTCTCTGATTCTTAGGGACAGGGCCGGTCTATTCTGTATCCTTGGTCCACAACAGAGCTGGCACAGAGTTGCAGCTCAATAAATGGTTGTCAAGTACCCAGATTTAGCTTTAGTTTCCACATCTCTAAAACAGGGTAAGAACTGAACCTATCACAGATAGATTTAGGAGGCATTAAACAAGTTAACAATCTTAGTGCCTGGCACACAGGTACTCAGTAAACAGCCCTTGTTATTATACATAATTCTAAGGGGAAAGTAAAAGAAGAGACAAAACCAAGTTTCTGGGATTTCTTTGTTTAACTGTTTTTGCAAACCTAGAACAAAACAAAGTCAACCAGGAATGAAAATGACTGGGACTTGAACCAACATCCATAAGCCAGACACAGTGTTTAGGGGTCTCAGAGAGGAGTAGAGAGAACTGAAAAAAATCTGCTCAGAGGCTACTGCATATTCCTCAGAAAGTCAAGGAGAGCTCTAATGTACAGGGGGATGCTGTGTTAACTGGTGTGTGCACAGGTCAGCATGCAGATTGCTGGGATCCTCAGGGCAGCACTACTCAGGGCTGAGGTGATGCAGTCACACTCAGGGTTGCTGGGAGAAGCAGGGAGCTTCCAGGGGACACCGAAGAAGTTAAGGATATATTAACAATATCAAGGGATATAAAAAATGCCTTAAGAGTTCTCCAAACCTGCAGGCACACTCACTCTCATTAGGGCCTTCGAGATCTTAGAAAAAATTGCTGCTGCTTTTTTTCAAGCTCATCCAGCTGGCCAGCAACTTCTTCCTATTCAGAGGTAACCTCTGGGTCACCACTGCCTCTTGATCCTAATTACAGGGAAGAGGAGCACACAAAATTAGTATAATTTCTCTCCCTGTGATGGCCCTTTAGATGCTAAAGAAGTGTTAACTAAAGCTGTTATTTACTGAAACTTACCAGGACTGCAAATAAAGGTAACAATACTGAATAACAATAGTAGGTAACTTTATTTTTTAAAATTTGTTTTATATTTTTTATTTTGTAGAGTCAAGGTCTCACTATGTTGCCCAGGCTGGTCTCAAACACCTGGCCTTAAGTGACCCTCCTGCTTCAGCCTCCCAAGGTGCTAGGATTACAGGTGTGATCCACCACAGCTGGCCTTGTAAGTAGGTAACATTTATTGAGTGCTTCCTCTGTGTTAGACACTATCTATGAAATTTCTAAGGCATAGAGCAAAGCATGGGGGGATCTGGGGTGGGATAAGCAACAGAGAGCTGGAAGCACTGGTTTTGGAGTCACAAAAACCTGAGTTTGAAATCTGGTTCCATATATTGCCTATGTCTCTTTGAGACTCGGTGAGCTACCAGGTTCCTAGCCATGGCTTCAGCGTTCAGCACTGATAAAGTGTGTAGAATGCTTAAGCCAGTGTCAGGCACATAGCAGCTGCTCCATACACGATGATGATAACAATCACGTGTTCTTGTTGCGGCCCTAGTGTGGGCAATACCAATAATAACCATCACTGGCATAGTATTAATAGCAAACACCGGCACAGCGCTTGCCACGTGCTAGGAAATGGCTTCCATTTACAAATTCACTGAATCCTCAAAACTAACCTATGTATGTACTATTTTTATTCCTATCTTAAAGATGAGAAAACTGAGGCAGATGACAAAGTGCCCAAGACAACCTTTATTAAGCGCTTACTATGATCCAGACCTGTAACAAACTCGCTACCTTTGTTAAATCCTCAAATAACCCTTTAAAGGAGTTGCAGTATATCCCCAATTTACAGATGGAGAGACTGAGGCTCAGAGAGTTGCTCATGGACGCGAGGGTTCGATCCAGGGCCGACCCCGCACTCACTCGGCCTCCTGCAGGCGACGAAGTACAACTCCGCTATCAGCGTCGAGCTTCGTCTCGAGCTCCGCCTGGGGACCCGGGGCTGCCGCCTCCCTCCGCCGCGGCCGCCGCCCCGCCGATCGCCTCTTCCGCGGAGCCGCCCTCTGCCAGGGATCCGGCGCTGCCGCCGCGGCCGCCGCCATGGGCCTCTAACGTCACCGGCGCGCGACGCACTGGGCACGTCACCGCCCCGCGCCGGTTTCCAGGAGCTCTGAGGGGCGGTAGGCGTGGCGGCGCGTGACCTAGGGCCTCCCGGCCGCGCGCGTAGGTGCCCGGTGGGTGTGGCGGGTGCCCGCTGCTGCCCACGTTTCGTGTCCGGAATCTCGAGTCCCGAGCACTGGGATGCCTAGCTACTCCGGTGGGTGGGCGGCGCTCGCAGATGCGGGGACCCCGAGGGGCGGGACGCCAGCCGAGGGCGTGACCCAGGCCCGCTCCCTCCCCGGGTCACAGTTTCCCGGTACCCCTGAGCTGAGGCTAGACGCTTCGCAGAGCCTCCCGCGGTTACCGATCGCCTCCTGAGCCCCGGGGGTTGTGTCCGGCAGCTTTCTGGCCCTTCGCAGTCATCGTTAGTTTCTCTTTTCCAGCCCTGCTGACCCCCTGAGACCACTTCCTACACCGCTTCCTCCGCCGCTCCCGGCCTTTGCCGGTCACTTCTCGACTTCCCCGGGTCGTTCCTGTCACTTCCTGGGCTACCAGATCCTTTTCTGATCGCATCCCGACGTCTGCCTCTACCACAGGGCCTCTTCTGGACCTTGCAGAGATGCGAGAGAGGACCTCGGCAGTGGAGGGCCCAGTCCTCTGGGAACAGGGGATGGAGGGCTTCAGGCTGCTGTCCTTGGTTCCGGGAACTGAGATGTCCCCTCCACAGGCACACAAGTCTACTTCATAGATGTGATCCAGTGTGATCCAGTGGAGGCCCACTCCAAAATATCTAGAGCTGAGAAAAGAGATTTTTACAGACCAGTAGGTATTCAGTGGGGTCCTCTCTAGAGATTAGCAAACTGTATCGTGTTCCCCAGACAGCAGAATGGTGAGCAAGCATTTGAGACCATATTGCTGGGGTCATTCAACTTGGAGAAAGTGGCAGTAGGAATACAGTTTTGAAGTAACCAAGGGATTGTCACATGGAAGGATTACATCTTGTCTTGTGTTATCCTGGAGTGTTTTAGGCAGACCCATGATTGGAAGTTACTGGGAGGCAGATTTTGGTTTGGTGGAAAGATAAATTTAATACTATGAACCACCTATCTCTGGAGGGAGTAAGACAGAGGCAGTCAAGGTAATTTTTGGAGGAAAGTACAAGAGACAAGGATTAAATTGTGCCAGGGTCTCTTCTGACTCTTCTGACTCTGATTCCATGGACACCGAGTTGTCTTTTTCTTGGAGTCGGAAAACCATTTGTTAGAGTTCTCTTTTTGTCTTTTGGAAATGTGCCCAGTTCTGGAATGCTGCATGTTCAGGTTACTTTGGGGCTGACAAAGTGACAGTTCCTTAATTTGAGTTCCATTATTAGTACAGTAACCACTTTATTTGTATAGCTGTCTTAACACCCAAAGGAATTTCACACTAATTACTTAATTTTATCTTCTGTGAAACTTATGGTATGTTTACCATAAGTGTTTGAGAAACTAAGGCCTTTACCCTGAAGTCTCTGCTGCGCCCCCCCCCCTTTTATTTTGAAGCATCATTGTCACACTTACAGAAAGCTCTTTTGAAAATACCATTTGCTTAATCTTGCTGGGTCACATGCTCTCTCATGGGTTTCTGAAATATCTATTCCTTGTGTTTATTTCAGAGCCAAGGCACTGATGTTTGAACTGAAAGCTTCAAAACGTTTAAAAGAACCTTCAGGATGGCTTTGAACTAGACAGCTAGAAATTCCTTCAGTACACTGCCTCTAGCGCACATCTCCCCCATGGGGCTTTCCTGGAGAGGAGTTTGAAGACAGCCACACGGATGCTCATGGACCCAGGCTAATGGATTTGACTTTTCTGCTCGGCTTCTTTTTATTATTCTCTCTCAGATTGTAAGAGGCATAGAGGTGTTAATGAAACTGAAGGCCTGCAAGGAAGGGAAGTAGCACTTTCATGCCGAATGAAAACTAAGCAAGTGGCAGTTGTGACTGAAAACACTTAAACCTACCACATCCAGATTCACTGGATTGGGGCACAGGGGAACGGTCACAGCTGGGGAGAAAGAAGTGACACTGGCAACAAAACCTAAATAAAGAGAATGAGGACGACTGAAAAGTAGATGGCCACCTCCACTTCCACAGAGACAAAGTCAGCCTCCTGGTGAGTATTGCAGTCTGTCAAGGTCCAACTCTCCCAGACTGTTGGATGGATCTTTGAGGTTAATTGAAAGTCCCCAGTCAGATTATCTTGATTTTTTTGGGGGGGGGGCGGGGGGTTGGGGATCACACTGTCACCAAGGCTAGAGTGCAGTGGCATGATCATCACTCACTACAACCTCAACTTTCTGGACTCAGGTGATCCTTCTGCCTCAGCCAATTAAAGTAGCTGGGACTTCAGATGTGCAACACTGTGTCTGGCTAATCTTTTTAACTTTTTGTGGAGACTAGGTCTTGCTATGTTGCCCAGGCTGGTCTCAAACTCCTGGACTCAAGCAATCCTCCTACCTCAGCCTCCCAAAGTGCTGAGATTGTAGGCATGAATCATTGCACGTAGCCAGATTGTCTTCATTTTATTAAGAAAATAATTAAAAATACCATTTTCCCCAGAGCAGCTGAATCAAGTCTGTGAGCCATTTCCCTCTAAAGCTAATGTGTTTTAACCTTGCAAGTCTCTTGCAATGTTTGAACAAGTCTGGCATTGTGATAGATTGTAGAAAAGATAGCCCTGCCCAGATCACATAGCAGCTTTAATAATCATGTGTGCGTGGTAGTCTTCACTTTGCAGAGATGAGGAATGGTTGCAGTTGAGAATTATACCATGAGCAGAGTTTTGGCCAGATTGGCTATTGAAGGGTGTTATTCAATGTTGGCCTGAAACTCAGTTGCCTTCTCAAGCCCAAATGAATGAATTAATCCTTTCTCATAATTCACTTCAGTAAACATTAATCGGGGAGATGAAAGTACAAGGCAAAGTTTAACTAGAATTGGAAGGATTTAGTGACTGATTATATATGTGGAAGTCAAAAAGATGAGCCATTCAGAATGACAGCCAAGTTTTCCTTTTTTTTTGAGTTGGAGTCTCACTCTGTTTCCCAGACTAGAGTGCAGTGGCCGCTTCCAGCCACTGCAGCCTCGACCTGCTGGGCTCCAGCAAGCCTTCTGCCTCAGCCTTCCAAGTAGCTAGAACTACAGGCACGCGCTACCACATCCAGCTAATTTTTAATTTATTGTGGAGATGAGGTCTCGCCAAGTTGCCCAGGAGGGTCTCGAACCTGCGGGCTCAGGCAATCCACTCACCTCAGCCTCCCAAAGGCGTGGGATTACAGGCTGAGCCACCGAGCCTGGCAACAGTCAAGTTTTCTTTTGTGTGCCTGTATGAGCAGGGGTGCTTTCACTCAGGGAGCATGGGGAGAGGAGAGGCAGAGTAAGGGTGGGGTTTCTGAGTTGGCTTTGAAACTTTTTTGAGGCTCTTTGATCTGGGCCTACCCTGCAGCCAGTTACACATCTGACCCCAGAACTCAGGAAAGCGAACTGTGCTAGACACCTAGTTGGTGCTTGTCCTCAGGAAGATAAGGCCCTGGAGAGGGCATAGACCCTGAGAAGAGTGCTGGTGACAAAGCGGTCATACCTCTTCCTTATGCTACAGCCTCATAGATGTATTCTCAGAGATCTCAAAGTAAAACCAAACTCCAGCCTTTGGGGAGTTTTCTTTGTGTGTGTTTTTTTTTTTTTTTTTTTAGTTAGAGTCTCACTCTGTCTCCCAGACTGGAGTACAGTGGCCGCTCCTGGCTACTGCAGCCTCAACCTGCTGGGCTCTGGTGATCCTTCCGCCTCAGCCTTCCATGTAGCTGGAACTACAGACGCGTGCTACCACGCCCGGCTAATTTTTGATTTATTGTAGAGATGAGGTCTCGCCAAGTTGCCCAGGCTGGTCTCGAACCCGTGGGCTCAGGCAATTCACACACCTCGGCCTCCCAAAGCGCAGGATTACAAGCTGAGCCACCGATCCTGGCCTGCTTTGTGGTCTTAAAGAGGTAATCACTTAATAATATTAAGTAATTATAATTATACTGCAGAGTAGACTCTAGGAGTTTTTAGGAAAGAAGAGAAGGCTATGGGAATCCCAGAAGAATGAGATTTTTTCTGGGCCAGGGGAATTAGCAGAAGATTAGTGAGGAAGCATGCTTGAGTGATACTTGGTGAGGTTTCGACTGGCAGAGTAGTTCAGTGTTTCTCTGCCAACTCTCATAGGCCCCTGGTTTTCCCATTGTAGACTCACTATCCTGCATTGAAATTGCATGTTTACTCGTCAAACGCAGAAGCTACGGCGGGCCCTCAGTAAATGTTGGCTCAGTGAATGCATGAATTCCTGGTAGAAGGGCTCTTTGCGGAGATTGTGGGCTCAGCAGTTATGAGGAGTGCATCTAGACAGCCCTGACTTATTTTGTTATCAGAGCCTTAAAAGAGCGTATCAGACCATGTGGTTGTATGGTTAAGGTTCAGTGTTTCAAATAAGAGCAGTCATTGTGGGCGCTTCGGTTTTTCCTCTAGCTACTCATGTCTTTTCAGGCAGATGGTCTGACGGCATATTTTTAGTTTGACTCTCCTGCACTTATGAAATGGTTTTATCTGTTTGTAGCTGCTGAGGTTCCTTCTCCTCTGGGGCCACCAGAAGGCTTTTCGACACAGTAATGAGGCCTCCAAAGGTTGGGAAGGAGGAAGCTGTGTTTTAAATGCCATGATCACTGGATGAAAGGAAACATGGCTCCATTCTGTTCTCTTGCCAGGTTGAATTATTTTTTTCTCTATGATGGCTCCAAGGTAAAGGAAGAAGGAGATCCAACAAGAGCTGGCATTTGTTATTTTTATCCTTCCCAGGTAAGCTGCGTGGTGTTTTATTGTTCAGTGGAGATTGTATTGCCTCTAAGTGGTGACTTTGCAAAAGTGTAGGGTTTAGATTAGGACACTTTTCTTTGGCTAATCCAGACATTTGACATCTTTTCCTGTCTTATTCTTAGTTGTACTGTTTCTTCTTGTTCAGGTCTTAAAAATTTCCAGGCAGCTCAGTACTTCCATCATCTCTAGCTTTCTGTTTGCATCATGATTTTTTGACTGCTTCCCTCTACCCCCAATTTTTTGATCAGCCCATTTTTTTTTGGAGTGGAGTGCAGTGGCACATTCACAGCCTCTGCAGCCTCAACCTGCTGGGCTCAGGCAGTCCTTCTGCTTCAGCCTTCCAAGTAGCTGGTACTACAGGTGTGCGCCACCACGCCTGGCTATTTTTGATTTATTGTAGTGATCAGGTCTCGCCAAGTTGCCCAGACTTGTCTCGAACCCAGGTGGTCCGGCAATCCTCCCACCTCTGCCTCCCAAAGTGCTTGGATTATAGTTGTGAGCCACCACGTCTGGCCAATAAGCTCCTTTTAAAAAAGGTTTTATTCAAACATATACAGAAGTAAAGAGGAGAGTGTCATGAGCCCTCATGTGCCATCATCAGCTTCAACAGTCCACCAGTTTTGTGTGACCTATCCTAACCTCCTCCTGTCTTCTAGCACAAATTCTAGATTTTGTATTATCTCACCAGTATCAAATAACATCTTTAACTGAAAAAGACATTATTGACTTTAATGTGATTTATTTATCTTTAGAGACAAGGTCTCACTCTGTCACCAAGGCTAGAGTGCAGTGGTGCAACTGTAACTCACTGCAGCTTTGAACTCAAGCTCAAGCAATCCTCTCACCCTAGCCTCCCAAGTAGCATGAACTACAGGCTTGCATCCCCACGCCCAACTAATTTTTAAAAATTTTTTTGTAGAGATGGAGGCCTTGCTAGGTTGCCTAGGGTAATCCTGAACTCCTGGCCTTGAGTGATTCTTCTACCTTGACCTCCCAAAGCGTTGGGATTACTGGCATGAGCCACTGTGCACAGCCGAGAGACATTATTTTACTTATTACTATACCTAAAAAAAAATTAAAAGTATTAGTAATAATAATTCCTTAATATCACCTGATATCCAGATTTTGCCTTATTACCTTGTATATCACTTAGTCTGTCCTTACTTTCTTCTTTCCTTCCATCTCTTTCTCTCTTTTTTCTAATCAGAATCCAAACAGTTTTCACAAATTCTATTTGGTTGTTTTGTATTTGAAGTCCTTTTTATAACACTCCTCACCCACCCACCTATGCCATTGAATTATTGAAGAAACCAGGCCATTTGTGTGGTAGACTGTTAGCACATCCCACACTCTGGATTTGGCTGTCTTCCTCATGGTGGTGTCATTGAATGTTCTGTCCACTGTACTTTCTTTAAATTAGTAGTAAGACCTAGAACCTGGATAGATTCAAACTCAGTTCTTTCAGGCAAGAGTTCTTTTTTTGAGTCAGTCTCATTTTGTCACTCAGGCTGGAGTGCAGTGGCATGATCACAGTTCACCACAGACTCAACTTCCTGGGCTCAGAAGATCCTTCCACCTCAACCTCCCAAGTGGCTGGGACTACAAGCACTCGCCACCATACCCAGTTATTTCTTTTTTAAATTATTTTTGTAGAAATGAGGTTTCACTATGTGTCTTGTCTGATCTTGAACTCTTGGGCTCAAGCAATCCTCTCGCCTTGGCCTCCCAAAATATTGGGATTACAGGAATGAGCTACCACACCCAGCAAACCCTTTATTTATGTATTCATTCATTCATTCATTTATCAATGTTATTTTTTGTGAGTCAGAATCTCTGTCACCCAGGATGAATATAGGGGCACAATCACGGCTCACTTCGGCCTTGACCTTCTGGGTGCACGCAATCCTTCTGTCTTAACCTTCTGAGTAGCTGGTACTACACAACCATGCCCGGCTAAATTTTAGATTTTTTCTGTAGAGACAAGGTCTCGCTATGTTGCCCAGGCTGGTCTTGGACTTCTGGGCTTAAACAATGCTCTGGCCTCAGCCTCTCAAAGTGCTGAGATTGTAGACATGAGCCACTGTGCCCAGTGTCTGTCAGTCAAGAGTTCTTCATAAGTGCTGTATACATTTTCTGTTGCGTCACATACTGTCTAGCTGTCCCATAATTTCGTTAAGGTTAAGATTGCTTCGGAGATTCTGTATATTCATGTGTGATATGCTCTGCCTTGGATAGTTGGGATTAATCTGGGCCACTCTGGCCACTGTGTGCAGGGGATTTGAATAGGAATGAAAGCTCATGCTTCTGCTCAAGCATGTGTGTATAATCCTCAGAACAAAAATATAGTTCTGTGCAGTCATCTTATGTGTTCACTGTGGGTGTTCGCTAACAGTTTAGTCATCTTGGGCAGGGGTTGGCAAACTTTGTAAAGGCCAGGTAGTAAATATTTTAGCTTTTCGAGCCACAGAAAGTCTCTATCACATATATTCTTCTTTGTTGTTACAAGCCTTAAAAGATATAAAAACCATTCTTAGTGCATGGGCCATATAAAAACAGGCAACAAACTGAATTTGGCCTGCAGGCTTTTGTTTGCTCTAAGAAATCCTGCAAGAGTTCAAGAATTTCAGCCTCCTATCTGGAATGTGCCTCTTTCCCACAGACCCTGCTTGACCACCAGGAGTTGCTTTGTGGACAGATTGCTGGAGTTGTCTGCTGCATTTCTGACATTTCTGACTCTCCTCCCACTCTCATTCGTCTCAGGAAACTGAAGTTTGCCATAAAGGTTGATGGAGATTACCTTTGGGTAAGTTGAAAAGGCAGAATTGGTGCTGAAGTGTGATGATAATGTTTAGAAGATGATGCCTTCTATGGCTCTGAATTTAGAATCTTCCCCCACTCATTTGCTGTGTTCAGTAATCATCCATGCTTCCTGTAATTCTGTGTAGGTGCCAGTTGTAACTGAGTGTTTTCCAGAACGTTTCTAACATATCCTGCATTGCTCATGGCTACTTTCCCCTTTATTTTGAGAAACTTGGGGCAACCTGTGGGAATTCTATTTACTCTGTGTTGTGAATGGAGTTTTTTATCTCCCATCTTTTCTCTATACTCTCTACACTTGCTGAGTAAGTGACTCAGAAAAAGACATTGATGGATATATGATAGATTTCAAAGAACTCATTTTAAAAAGTACCATATAATCTAAAGTGCTATTTCTCATGCCTGCACTCATGTCAAGGCTTACTGAGGTGAAGGGATGCTTAAGTAGAATTTTGCCTGTATTACGACATCCTGTGAGTGAAATGATACAAGTGCTACATGTTTGACAGATTTTTTTTTTTGAGTTGGAGTCTCACTCTGTCACCCAGACTGGAGTGCAGTGGCCGCTCCCGGCCACTGCAGCCTCAACTTGCTAGACCCTGGCGATCTCTCTGCCTCAGGCTTCCGAGTAGCTGGAACTACAGACACGCGCTACCACGCCTGGCTAATTTTTTTTGACTTATTGTAGAGATGAGGTCTCGCCAAGTTGCCCAGGCAGGTCTCGAACCCGCGGGCTCAGGCAGTCCACTCACCTCAGCCTCCCAAAGGCGCGGGATTACAGGCTGAGCCACCGAGCCCAGCATTGACAGGTTTTTGTCTTGCCATTTATTGTTTGTGAGACCCATCTGTGTTGTTGCATGTACTGGTATTCATTCTTTTTTACTATCAAACAATATTCCATTGTCTGAATATATCACAGTCAATTTATCCCTTTTTTTTTTGGATCAAGATCTTACTCTGTCATCCAGGTTAGAGTGCAGTTTATGATCATGGCTCACTGCAGCCTCAAACTACTAGGCTCAAGCAATCCTCTTACTTCAGCCTCCCCCAGTAGCTGGGACTATAGGCATGTGCCACCACGTCTGGCTTTTATTTTCTTGTAGAAATGAGGTTTCACTATGTTGTCTAGACTGGTCTTAAACCCCTGGCCTCAAGTGATCCTCCCATCTTTGACTCCCAGAGATCTAGAATTGTAGGCATGAGCTACCACATCCAGCCTCTGTTCTTCTTTTGATGGACACCAGAACTGTGTCCAGTTTTGAGCATTGAGAAGACGACTCCTAGGAACAGTCCTTTACAAGTCTTTTTGTGGACATGTTTTTCATTTTTTACACTTCTCCTTAATATCCAGACATGGAATCGCTGGGTATAGAGCAGGCGTATGCTGACTTTTATAGGAAACTGCTAGACCTTTTCTGCAAGTGGTTGTACCATTTTACATTCCCACCAACAATGTATGAGAATTCCAGTTAACTCCATATCCTTGTCACATATTCATATTGTCAATCTATTTGATTTCAGCCATTCAGCTGAACGTGTTATGGTGTGTTATTGTGGTTTTAATTTGCATTTCCCTAATGACTAATGATGTTGAGGCCTTTTCATGTGCTTAATGGCCATATATGTTTTCTTTGTGACGTGTCATTTCCAAGCTTTGCCCATTTTTATTTTTATTTTATTTTATTTTATTTTTTTTGAGTTGGCATCTCACTCTGTCGCCCAGACTGGAGTGCAGTGGCCACTTCTGGCCACCGCAGCCTCGACCTGCTGGGCTCCGGCGGTCCTTCAGCCTCAGCCTTCCAAGTAGCCGGAACTACAGGCATGTGCTACCACGTCCGGCTGATTTTTTAATTTATTGTAGAGATAAGGTCTCGCTGCCCAGGCAGGTCTCAAACCCACAGGCTCAGGCAATCCACTCACCTCAGCCTCCCAAAGGCGCGGAATTACAGGCTGAGCCACCGAGCCCAGCTCATTTTTAAAATTAGGTTTTAGGGTTTTTTTTCTTTTCTTTCTTTTTGAGTCAGAGTCTCACTTTGTCACCCAGGCTGGAGTGCAGTGGCACACTCATGGCCACCGCAGCCTCAACCTGCTGGGCTCAGGTTATCCTGCCTCTGCCTTCCAAGTAGCTGGAACTACAGGTATGTGCCACCATGCCCAGTAATTTTTGTTTTATGATTTATTGTAGAGATGAAGTTTCACAAGTTGCCCAGGCTAATCTTGAACCCATGAGTTCAGGCAATCCTTCTTACCTCGACCTCCCAAAGTGCTGGGATTATAGGTGTGAGCCACTGCACCCACCGAGGTTTTCTTTTTTTATTGAGTTATTGTTCTTTATATATCCTGGATACCAGTTCTTTGTCAGATAGATATTTAAAAAATATTTTCTCCTAATTTGTAACATACTTATTAATTTTCTTGGTGGTATCTTTTGATTAGCAGTTTTTAATTTTAATGGTCTAATTTATCAGTTTCATCTTTTGTGGTTACTATTTTCTGTCTAAGAAACCACTGCCTACCTCATTGAAGGAGATAGTCTTTATTTTTTTGTAAGTTTAGCTTTTAAATTTAGGTCTATAATCTACCTTGGATTATTATTAGTGAATGGTCTGAGTAAAAGTCAAAGATCATTTTTTTCCTTCTGGATATCCAGTTGTTTCAATAGCGTTGTTGAAAAAACATCTTTCCTTTACCTATTGGATCACTACTTTGATGGGGGTGTATTTCGAGTCTTTTCCATTGATCTCTTTGGAGAGTCTATGCGAATATACACTGTTGATTTCTGTAGCTTTATAACACATTGTGAAACCAGGTAGTATACATCCTTCAACCTATTCTTTTTCAAGATAGCTTTGGATATTTTAGGTCTCCATTGTAGAATCAGCTTGTCAATTTCTAAAGAAAAGCTAGTGGTATTATTTAATTTAATTCAATCTGTAGATCACTTTGGGAAGAAGAAAGAACTTCCTATGTGCCAGACTATTGTAAGCACTCAAGTTACATCCACGAACAAAAAAAGATCCTTGCCCCACTGTAGCCTACATTCAATAGGGACTTTTTGCATTTGTTTTCTGTTTGGGATTGTTTACATTTTTGATGATTCCCTTTGGAGGTGGATTCCTAGAGGTAGAATTACTGTGTCAAAGAGTATGACCTTTTCTAGGCTCTTTAAACATATGCTCAGATCACTTTCTAGCTCAGCAAGTATTTGTCTTCTGTAGAACTAAGCACTACACTCAGCATTTTGGAGGTCTAGACCTCTGAGGACATAGTTAGTTCTAGCTCTTGAAGCACTTCATCCAGCTGGAGAGTCAAGAGGGCCATTCAGGAAGTAGCTTGAGTCCTGTCCAGTGTTTGTAATGAAATGCAGGTTAAACATCCAATGTCCAAGTAACTAACAGTCCCAACAATACAAGGGTCAACGTTGGCTAGAGTTAATAGAACAGGCATCATGGAGATGCTGGAATCTGTGTTGGGCACTGAAGGGTATGAGTAAGTCTTGGAGAAGTTATATGGAAAGAAGAGGGCATTTCAGGTTGGGCAACATGAATAGAGGCCCAAAAAGTACTCGTTCTCCGTGGAGACTAGCATGACTGGAGTGGAGGGTGTAGATTCAAGAGGAGTGAAAGATTCAAGAGGAGTGAAATCTGGTGATGGAGAGACCTGAATGCCAGAATTCTGGGCTTGGACTCAAAGAAAAAGAAAATGTTCTCTTCTTGGCTTCCCTCTTTACAGGGGCTGGGCTGTGCTGTGGAGCTTCCTGATGTCAGCTGCCAGCAGTTTCTGGATCAGCTCATTGGATTCTTTAATTTTTACAATGGACCCATTTCTCTGGCTTACGAGGTATGAGAATAGTGTTGAGGAGTGCCATGTTTGAATATCAGATTTGACACTGACAGAATGTAGCTCTTACTCTGGGGTCTGTGATACTTTACATAGACACGTCTTTTCCACTGTGGCAGGGGTTCTTGGAGCCCTTCTCAGATGTCTTTGTGCCCAGTGGTGTAGATCACATTCATTCCAAATGGTTATCCCTGTCTATGATGGTTAGAAAGAGCAGGCCTTCCTTGCCGCCCTCTCCAGCAGATGCCCTGGATCTATGAGGGGGTAGTTATCAGAGTGTATGGAGGAAGTTCCAAACAGGCCCTCCCTTCTGGCCAGTTTCCTGTGTGAGGAACAGTTTTTGCAGTCTTTGGGACTCTGACCACAGAGTCTGTCCCTCGGGAATCTCAGATACTGACCTCATGCTGTTTCTGTTTTAGAACCGCTCTCAGGAGGAATTGAGCATGGAGTGGGACACCTTCATTGAACAAATTCTGAAAAACACCAGTGATCTGCATAAGATATTCAATTCTCTCTGGAACTTGGACCGAACTAAAGTAACATTCCCACCCTCCTTATTCATTTCTATGTAAAGGTGGCGCTTCTGACACTTTAAAAATATTCCTTAAAAGAACTGTATCCAGAGAAGCGATGAAATGTGTCACTTCTCAGGCTGTCCTTGTCAGTCCTGCACTTGACTGCATTGCTGCTGCTCATGGGTGGTGTGCTCTGGGGCACGGCAGGTCACCTCTCAGCCTCCCTTCCTTCATCCTTAAGATGGGGTCGGGATCCCTGCCTTCTAAAACTGCCTTAACAATAACACAAGGCCTCAAATGACACCAAGCAGAGCATAAAGGGAATTATTATTTTGCTGATGCCTCAGAAGTATTGAACTCAGTCATCTAAAAGTCCTCTCTTGATATTAATATCATGTGATTCTGTTACTCTCAATATCAAAAAAGCCCAACACAAACATTTTGCAGATAAGGTCGCTGTCTCTGAGAATGGTTGGGAAGTGTTTTTGTGTCTCTGAGCTGCCCCTTTTCCATTAGCACTCAGGGAAACCTTGGCTGCTGTGTGGCTGACCCAACCACCTGTGTTACCCCTGTAGAGGCAACTACCTGAGCAACTCCTATGTCTCACTGCTGTCTGAGTAGTGGCCCTCTAACAATGTGGTGCTGTGACTCAGCCTTTGCGGGGCGTGATGCTGCTGGAGATGGGGAAGGATTTTCTCATTCCTATCAGGAGTACTTCTTGAAGTTGGCTCCAAAGCTTTATAGAATGGCTGGCTGGGGCTGGGCACAGTCCTGAGGCCATGAGAGAATAGATGTAACTTCGTGTGCCAGCATCTCCTGAGCTTGGCTCCATTAGCACTGCATTCTGACAGCTGATGGTCCCCACAGGTTCTGTCTACTGAGTAGGCAGGTGGAAACATAAAGAGCCCGCTACCTACGGCTGGCCACGCTTGACCAGGTCCAGACGCTTTGCTTGTATTTTTAGGAACTTCCTGGCAACTGGCCCCTCACAAAGAATGTGGAGCTGAGGCACATGTTCCTGAATGAAAGACCCTATGATTTCATTTCATTTATGGAATAGAGTCATGGTGCCTGGTCATACATCATGTCAGCTCTGTCAGCATAGGGCTGTGCTTCAGAGGGTGGGTGGAGGATGGGTGGGTGGGTTTCACCTGGTGCCATGACCTGCATATAAAGGGTATGTGCTCTTCCTCTGCTGCCTGCTGTCAGCATTGACGGTCAGGGTCTCCTAGGCCATCTACTTTGTCCCCTGTGAACAACCATATGCCATGTTTGCTGCACCTTCCAGCTTCCAGAGAGGGCTCTTTGTTCCAAGAATTTGATATTTTGTGGTGTCAGCTGTTCTGAATGTAGAGAGCTAGACTAAGACCTAAGGAAGGTATGCCACAGATTTTACTGTGTGACACATCCTCCTTTTCCCTGTCCACTTGTTCTGTGTATCCCTTCCCAGCTCCCTTGCTGCTTTTGAATGTGCTGATGGGTGGCATGTCTTTTGCCCTGTGCAGGTGGAGCCCCTGCTGCTGCTGAAAGCAGCCCTCATTCTGCAGACCTGCCAGCGTGCGCCCCATGTCCTCGCTGGCTGCATCCTCTACAAAGGACTGTGAGTAGCACCAGACCCCTCTCCTCCAGCCCCCTCCCCCTGCTGCAGAGATGATCATTGGCCGTCTCTAGAGCATGGTGGGGAGCTCAGTCTCTGGCCAGTTCAAGTGGGCTGGTTTGACAATCTCAGGTAGTTCAGATTGATTTAGGGTATTTACCTGTCTTGGAGAAAGCTGAGAAATTGGTCGTCTTTGTGTTCAGAAAACAGGTACACACAAGGGATCTATGTAATTCTCGGCATGAGCATACTTTAGTCATCATCAGTCTACAAGATGCTCATGCACAGCCCCCAGAGCTGTCAGCAGTCCACACTATAAGTCAAGGGGCGTGGAGGGAGCCTGCTATGGCCTTCCTCCTCCTACTGCCCAGAGGCCCTGGTGCCCTTGCTGTGACTCAGCTCTGCAGAACAGCCTGATGAACCTTTACCCAGGCTCCTTCCAGCCTCTTGGCTGGGTCTATGTCTCGACGGCCTCTGAGAGCTCACTACGCTTTTTCATGTAGCTTGAAGACGTTTTCATGAGCCTGAGTACCTGAGAGCCACTCCATGTCTTCCAGGGCCTCTCCTCCAGAGAGTTTGGTCTCACAGCCCCAGCGGACACAGCAGTTGTGCAGGGCCCAGAGCTTCCTGCTGACCAGGTGGCTGTGCTGCTGGAGGCGCACTCAGGCTCTTGTGAGGGATCTTGGGCCTGCCAGGCTGGGTTTGAAATCCTGCCTTCTCTTTTTGCCAGCCATGCGGCCTTAGGCGAGTTGCCTCACCTCACATTTCTCTGCTGGAATGTAAAGATCCTTTGTGGAGAATGGAATGGATAACAGAAGTGAAAGGACTGAGCATAGTCCCTGGTGGGCATCATAGCCCTCTTCCCCGTCCCCTGTTCCCATCATCAAGATGGGAGTCCACTGTGGGACTTTTAAGCTCACCAGTGCCATAGCTGCTGAAGACAACTTTTTTTTCCTTTTCTTATTTTGCATTTCTTATATATATTTAAATTATACAGCTAATGCATGAACATCTTTCACTGTAAACAAATCAACAGAGAAGCACATCGAGCGTAATGTAAGAGTCTCCCTTCTCTTTTCCTCACTCTTATCCCATCCCACTGTGAGAACTTTGGTGAGCATCCTTCCATTGCTCTTTCTGTGTGTTTTTACCCACCTGTGCCTATACACATATAATGATTTTGTTTATGTCCATGTAAATAGAATCCTGAGGTTCCTCAACCCAGTATGTAGCGATTTCTTTCTTTTTTTTTTGAGTTGGAGTCTCACTCTGTCTCCCATACTGGAGTACAGTGGCCACTCCCGGCCACCACAGCCTCGACCTGCTGGGCTCTGGCAATTCTTCCTCCTCAGCCTTCCAAGTAGCTGGAATTACAGGCACGCGCTACCACGCCCGGCTAATTTTTTGATTTATTGTAGAGATGAGGTCTCGCCTGCCCAGGCGGGTCTCGAACCCGCGGGCTCAGGCAATCCACTCACCTCAGCCTCCCAAAGGCACTGGATCACAGGCTGAGCCACCGAGCCCGGCTGAGATTTCTTTTTTTTTTTTCTGAGTTGAAGTCTCACTCTGTCACCCAGACTGGAGTGCAATAGCACACTCCAGCCACCGCAGCCTCGACCTACTGGGCTCCAGTGATCCTTCAACCTCAGCCTTCCAAGTAGCCAGAACTACAGGTGCACACTACCATGCCTGGCTAATTTTTGATTTTTTGTAGAGCCGAGGGCTCACCAAGTTGGGAGTCTCGAACCTGTGGTGGGAGGCAATCCACCCGCCTTGGCCTCCCAAAGTGCTGGGATTACAGACTGAGCCACCGAGGCCAGCCTAGAGATTTCTTTACTAGTCATATTGGTCCACTGCATTCTTATGAAGGCTACACACTTTTTGGTGTTCTGGCTGTGCTGTGATTTATTTTGACTACTCTCTTGTAGTTTGTTGTTGTTTTTGAGTCAAGGTCTTGCTCTGTTGCCTAGGCTGGTGTGCAGTGATGTAATCACAGCTCACCACAACCTCTACTCCTAGGCTCAGGAAATCTTTCCCCCTCAGCTTCTCAAGTAATTGGGAATACAGGCGTGTGCCACCACACCTGACCAATTTTGAATTTTTAGTAGAGACAGGGTCTCACTGTATTGCCTGGGCTGGTCTTGAGCTCCTGGGCTCAAGCAGTTCTCCCACCTTGGCCTCCCAAAATGCATGCGTGAACCTGGACTATTTAACTACTCTCTTGTTGATGGACGTTTCACCTATTTTTTTTTTTTTAACTTTTTACTGTTTTCCCTGTAGTGCATATTCTTATGCATACATCTTGGTACAAGCCAAGGCTCAGACATTTTAAGTATTAGTAGGAGCTGCCAGAATACCCTCCACAAGGGCTTTCCCAGTTGAAACTCCTACTGGCCATGTCCCCCAGGATCCTCAGCAACACAGGTTGGTCAGCGTCTTTGAAGTTCAGAGTATTTCTTCTCACTGTTCTTGTTTCTGTGTGTGACCCCCTAGGATTGTCAGCACACAGCTCCCACCCTCCCTTACTGCCAAGGTCCTACTCCACCGAGCTGTACCTCAGGATCAGGTATTGTAAAATCCACCTGCGGGGCTGAAATGCTTCACCCAAGTGCCTGTTGCTGCAAATGAGACTGATCCTGAGACAGGAAGAGTCAGGAGCAAGGGGCAGACGTTTACTTAATCTTGTCTGGACCCCAAGTCTGTCTGTGTGGTCTTCCTCAAGAGTGAAGACTGAAAGAAAATATTTTCTTTTCCCACGTGCAAGGCTTGCATAGTTGGTCTTCAAACCAAGTGGCTCCATGAGAATTTGGCTTTCCACAAGGAGGGTGTTTATGTCAAAGAGATGTTAGATGTTTTAGAGACAGACTGTAAAGGATGTGTCTTTAGAAAGACTTAGGAAAACATTTAAGAATACGTTCATTTTGTATGTATTTAATTGCTTTTGTAATGAAAAAAGCCATGCATGCTTATTGAGAATAATACTGTCCACAATTGGACTGTCCCGCAGTAAGTACTGCTAACATCTGGCATATTTCCCTCCAGTTCTTTTTTTCTTTTGGTTTTGTATTTTCTGTATATTAAGTTATGGTTTCAATTGTATCACAAGGCTGTCTTTTGACACTTATTAAATCAGCAGGCATTTAAAACGCTGGTGGGGCTCTGCCCAACCTTCTTACCCACTGTTGTTGGGAGTGTCTATTCGAATAACCTTTCTGGTAAGCAATTTGATAATGAGAGCATTGAAGATCCCTTTATTTTTTCTCAGTAATTCACCTTCTAGGAATCTGTTCTAAAGAATGACCCTAACTGCTGGAAAAGAGCTATACTCAAAACTTTACTGTAACAGAATTTATGAAAGTGAAAAAGCAGATACAACTTGCATGTCTAAGGCAGGAGGTGGCAGATGTGGCCTGTGGGCTGCCTGCCTACAGATCAAGTTTTGTCAGGCTGATTTCAAGCTACAGCAGCCGAGTGGTGTACTGGGACAAAGACCATATATTCTGCAAAGCCAAAAGTATTTGCTATCTGGTCCTTTCCAGAAAGAGTTTGTTAACCAGTGGTCTAAGATAGGGAAATGATTAGTTTACTATACCATTTTAAGCTTCATAAAATTTTAGTCAGCCATTTTTAAATGGCCAAAGATGTTTAACTGGCTTGAATTGCATGTTATTGTTTTCAGCAGAAAGGTAGAATTTTAAGGCCAGGCATGGTGGCTCACATCTCAGCACTTTGGGAGGCGGAGGTGGTAGGATTACTTGAGCCTAGGAGTTCAAGATCCTGGGCAACATAGTGAGACCTTGTCTCTACAAAAAATAAAAAATTTAACCAAGCTTGGTGGCATGCAGCATATAGTCCCTGCTACTCAGGAGGCTGAGGCAGAAGGATCACCTGAGCTCAGGAGGTCAAGGCTGCAATGAGCTGTGGATACGTGTTACTACATTCCAGTCTGGGTGATAGAGCAAGACCTTGACTCAAAAAAAAAGGAAAGTAGAATTTTATATAGTGTGGTCACAAAAAATTTGCATAGACCTAAAGAAAAAAATTGTCCAATATTAAAAGTATTATCTTGGGGGTGAAGAATTATATGTGATTTTCTTTAAAAATTTTTTTTGTCTATAATAAGCTTAGATGTGACTTAGGAAACTGCAGTGTAATTTTTGAGGGCAAAAAAGCCATATTTCATGAGAGTGAAAGTCATTTTGGCTAGAAGAGCAGTTTTTATTTGGTTTTAGTGGGTCCTTTTGCAACCCTCGGGTTGAGATGAAAGATTTTGTTTTATTTTTTGAGAAAACCCCAAGGTTCCTGGCCTTGACTGTGAACCAAAATAAGCAAGAACAATCTCGTGTAGCATTCTGTTTAGGCCAAATACTTTATAGTGAGGGTCACAGGACTTTCATATTTTTGTTGTGATGGAATTTATGTGAATTCTACATCAGGGGCTGTGGCAGGTGTGGCTATGTTTTAGAATATGAGTTCCCCAAAGGTGTAAAAGAGAACAGGCATCCTTGATTTTATTCCCAGAGGGAAGAGCCTGAGAAAATCAGAACTCCAAGTGTGACGTGAGTGCTGGGGGAGCTCTGCCTTTCAGTCTGTGTGGGCCCCATTCCTTGCCTGGTCCCCACTGTGGTGGGAGCCAGCAGCTTGGGGAGCTTCTGTTCCATCTGCTTGGCTCTTAGCATGTGGTTAGGACTAGCTTTGGGGGCCTGGCTAAGTTCTAGGAACAGATGGCCCAGCAAGTTCCTGATGGTTGGGTCAAGAGAACGTAGTACCCAGTGCCAGCTTCTATGTGTGTTTGTTTTCAGAGACTCCCTACAGGAGAGAATGCCCCACTGGAACGTGGTGAGTAGAGAGGGACACTGTTGCATCTTGAGGATGGCGGTCTTCTATGCTCCTATCCCTTTGCAAGTCATGCGAAAGACTGAGTAGTCTCATATGTTTATTTCCTCTGCTCATAAGATGAGGAGAATGTACCAGAGTTTCCCATCAGAACCCTAACTGTAAAGCTGGGTGATTTTGGACACACCTTTCAGACCCTCCTTAACTAAGCATTGTGAGACTGCTCAGACAAGTGCCAGAAGAATGTGATTGGGAGATTAAAGACCCTTTGCAGGATGTGGAGGCGCACCCAAGGGAATTTTGATTTATTCTAAAGTTAAGTTGGGTCAGACCCCTTAGCTGGAGTACTTTTTCTAACTTATATCTTTTAAATACCACTAACCCTTCCTCCACCGAACATCTCCCTTCTCTACTCCTAGGAGTCATGTTACCTGCAGGGGTTTTCCTCTCTGGGCACAGGAGTTAGGGCTGCAGTTTTGTGACTTGTGTCTTGGACTGAGAAATGTGTTCACAGTGCCTCTCTCAGAGCTGGTGTGCATTGGATGCGTCACCCCAGAGCAGTTATTGCCTCTCTGTCCTCTGACCCAGGGGAGAGCCCTGCCCACGTTGCTTTGCAATTCTAGGAGCACTGTTTCCCCCGAACGTCCAAATCATCCCTGTTTTTGTGACTGAAGAGGAAGCCGCCAGTCTCTATGAGTTCCCGGTGGAGCAGACGCCTAGGTGAGGGAGCTACAGGGGGGTAGCCTTAAACCATACCTCGGGGACCCCTCACTTGGATCATTACAATAAGCCTGGTGCTTGCCATCCTTCTGTGATTCCATCTCCCCCCTCCACTTTGTCTTGTAAGAGAGCACCTGGAGCTTGAGTACGTTGCTAAGAGACAGTGTGGTCTCATGGTGAGGTGACACTGGGTTTCACATCCCAGATCTCATTCGTCAGCGATATGGCCGTGGGCAAGTCCCTTCCCTGCCTGAGCCCCAATTTTTTCATCTAAATAATGAACCCAGTAACATCTCTCTCATGGATTTGTTGTAACCACTGAAAATAGTGTATGTGTAGCATCCAGTATAAAGGTTAGCTCAAAGTAGACTTTCCAAATGTGGGTGACTCTTATTCAGTAGGCTCTGCCATTTTCAGTAGGTGATCCTGGTGTCACTGTATAAAGCCCCAAGGGCCACACATTGCCTTATTTTTACTGCTGTAGTTTGACCCTGGTAGCATTTTATGTACTGTGGTCTCAGGCACTCCTTTGTCAGCAGTGCCTGTGCTTTATTCCCTGGGGAAGGCCACTAGCCCCGCACTCTGTCAATGTGCCCTTCCTTCCGTCTGTCTTACTTGCCAGCTTCCCTGCATCTCCAGCCGGACTCCAGGAAAGCTCGGCCCAGCACCCTCCTAAGGGCGGGAGTACATCTGTCCTGGAAGAAAATGCTACCGGGCATATGGAATCCATGGCCTGGACATTGGCCACCACCCAGGGGCTCACATCCCCTGACGAAGCTTGGCCAAGTGGCAAGGGGGAGAATGGACACTTGTCTGGCTATGATCTGGAGAGCCACGGGCCTGTAGGACTGCACAACACTGCCTGGGACAAGAGTCCTGGCCTCAGTTACTCCCTGGTGAAGGAACCAGCTTTTCCAAAAGAGGACCTGGATTTGTCTGAAATTCACATTCCAGAAGCTCAGGAAGTTGGAATATCCTCAGATCCTTTTGTCTTCCCACATGTGTGTGTCCCACATGACAGTGATCCTTGCTGCAAGGGATCTGTCAGTGACTCCAGTAGCCTGGATCTCATGCTGCCTGAGAACTCAGCCATCAGCAGCACACTTTCTCCCTCTGCTCCTGAGATGCTCACCCAGAACAGGGCCCCGGAACAGTGCAAAGACCTTCCTGGCAACAGCAGCCAAGCTCCCGTCCCCGGAGGAGACTCTCTCCCCAGAAGGACCAGCAAGCCCTTGTCATCGCCCTGCTTAGATCCAGAGCAGAGAGGAAATAGGCTTCCTGTTGGGGAGCAAAGCATGGGTCAGTGTGTTGATGGAGTCTGTGAGAGCCACGTAGCCCCTCATCTGGACTACAGTTCGGGCTCGGCCAACTCTCAGGGTGCCAGCCTCTCTGCTGACGGGACAGACTCCAGGCAGACCCCAGCAGAGTCCCAGGTGGGACTCGTACAGATGAGCCTCTACACGCACAGTGTTAAAGGGCTGGTGCTGTCACTGCTGGCCGAGGACCCGTTGCTGGGAGACAGCGCAGCCACAGAGGAGGTGGTGAGTGTCCTTAGACCTTCCCCGACTGCTCTGCAGCCTCCCCCGATCTCCTGCACTGACCCATGGGGAAGGGATGAGGGCTCGACTGTCAACTCTGTGATCCTGGGCAAAACGTCCTTGCTCACGCAATGCTGGTGATGGTAGGACCTGCCTCCGTGGGATCTTGTGGGAGTGAGCAAGGGTGAGTCAGCACATAGCACAGCACTGGTACGAAGGCATCCAACAAGTGTCAGCCCTCTTCTTCTACTTCTAGTTTCTCAGCGCGCAGGCCCTGGAGAGGGAAGATACAAGTGGGAGTCCTGGCTCTGTCCTCTTGCTGTGTGAGCTTGCCCACATGCCTTGCCCCTGAGCGTGATCTCATCAGTGGCATGAGGTGGTAACAGGTCTGTTCAAATGCAGTGAGATGACGCAGGCCGACTGCATGCACAGCTATGACTGTGCTGCCCCGGCTGACAGTCTCATTTCCTAGCCTGGGCAGCTCTAGGTCCTGTGTCAGCCAGAAACTACCCTGTAGTGTGTCAGGGTCGGGTTGGGAGTTCCTGGAAACCCTGTGTTTCCCACCATAGTCCCAGCATTGCACCTGATCTGGAGCTCCTTCCTAGAATGCCCGGTACACCTGAAACCCCGACTGGCTCTGGAGGGCTCTTACACCTTTCCAGCCCCTTCCCCGCTCAGAGTGTAAACTGACCTTCCCTGGGGCCTAGGCCCACACCAGAGATTCAGTTGCCATAGTAACAGTCTTGCCTTAGTGAGCAGAGAAAGTGGTGGCAGCAAGAATGGTTGAAATTGCTGCAGGGCAAATTGTGTCCTGGGCTTACCTTGTTTAGATTCTTAAATCTCTATTATTCTAAGCTGATCTTATTAGCTTTCAGGGCTTGTGACCCTCCAAAAATGAGCAAGTCACCTTGGAACACAGAAGAGATAAGACTGCTGCACAGCTCTTTGGTGCAGAGCTCCTAGCAAGAGACTGCTCCTCTCTAGAGCTTTCGGGCTTCTCTGTGGCCTTTCCACAGACTCCAGATCACCGAGCTGTGGCTTGTCTGCTTCCTGTGTCACCATAGCTATGAGTGACTTTATCCACTTCCTTCTTAGAACAACATAGGGAGCTGTGATGGCAGGTTACACATCTCATCTCCCTGATGATGGCTTGTTTTTCTTTTTCTTCTTTTTGGAAACAGGTTCTTGTTCCATAACCCAGGCATTGGGACAATCATAGCTCACTGCAAACTTGAACTCCTGAGCTTGAGCGATTCTCCCACCTCAGCCTCCTGAGTAGCTGGGACTATAGGCACGCGCCACCACACCCAGCTATTTTCTTTACAAAGTTTTTGTAGAGCCAGGGTCTCAATTTGTTGTCCAAGCTGATTCTCCTACTTTGACCTCCCAAAGCACTGGCATTACAGGCCTGAGGCACCCGTGCCTGGCTAATGCCTTGGTTTTCATGGTCTGTTCTGCACAGTGCTGAGCCTTAGAAATGTCATTTTGAAGGCCCAGTATTTGGATACAGGGTAATGGATATAATACCTTTCTCTTTACCTTTCCTCTAAATGGGGAAAAATTAGCACAGGCTGTTCTTCAAGGAGATGTATGCTGCATTAGCTGTATGCTAAATACATTTCCTATTTTAGCCAAGTCGCAGAACAGTCCTGAAAGGCAGGTATTATAACTTCATTTCACTGCAAGAGAACAGCCTCGCTGTGGTGAGAAGACCTCATCTGAGTGGCAAGTCCAGGATTCTTGCTTGCTTCCTGTTCTCTTGCCCAGTCTTTCTGGCCCCTGACTGCTCTGCCCTTGCCATGATCGGCAGGAAAGGAAGAAAGGGGCCCTGCCTTCTGTGGCTCTGGGTCTGTGGACATATCTCTTGGTGGTTGTTATGACAACAGCCTCCATGGCTTTCATGTAAAGTAGGGCTTGGTGCTGGCTAGGCTCCAGGAAATAGAATGTAGTTTTATACCAGAAGAAAAGCTAGTCTTTTCTAAAGAGAATAGGGGGTAACTGACTTTGATCAGCCTGCTGGTGTGAGAGCGGGTTTGTTAATTAGAATCCAGAGCTATCCGTTTTATAATTGGGAGAGCTCTCTTACTGCCTTTTGTCGCAGCCTAGAAGACACTTGCCCTGATTTTGCCTCAGTCCCTCTGCTGCTCTCTAGAAAAGCCAGCCCCTTCCTCCACCGAATGGTCAGCAACACAGTGAGATGGGACAGTGAGCACAAGTACACCCCCTTTGAAAAGACTTTTTTTTATTATGGCGTATACTGCCAGCGCACCCTTGTGTAATTTTGTCATCTTTCAGTGGATCAGTTTCCACAGGAATGAGGAGCAGGGGGTGGGATGGTGGAAGGAGCCGTCGGGGGAGCAGCGAGGAGCATTGGGATAGGGCTGGGATTGGCTCAGAGGGAGCGAAGCAGATTCCCACCAGGGGGCAGCATAAAGCCACTGATAGTCCACTGCTCAGAACCCAGGTCATCTCACTGACCTTCAGATGGACACTGAGTGGTCTGTGTACAGTAGATGAAGCTTGAAATTAGTGTGAGAGTTTATCCTTAAACGGTTTTCAAAAAAGTACCTCTCCCCAGCTGGGAAACTGGTGCCTCTAAGTGAACACGTTCTGCTGCTTCTGCAGCCTGTGGTGCACGTTGGCATTCAAGCCACTTGCTTCAGCGTGGACTAGAAGGCAGAGGGTCCAGGAATTAGCCCCAGCTCTGCGTCTCCTCCAGCTTTTTGGGGGGATCACATTATGTATCAGGGGCTGGCGACTTTTTATGTAAAGGACCAGAAAGCAAATATTTTCAGCTATGCACAACTATATTCAACACTGCTGTTGTAATATGAATATAGTTATAGATAATATGTAAATAAGTGTGGGGCTGTATTTCAATAACACTATTTTTGGACATGAAAATTAGAACTTCATATAATTTTTATGTTGAACCATTATTCTTTTGACTTTCTTCCTCAATTTTATAAAAAAACATAAAAGTCATTCTTGGGTAGTTCTCAGGCTGTACAAAACCAGGCAGTGGGCTGGATTGGTCCACAGGCCATAGTAAAAAATGACTGTCAGTAAAAATGATCCACATGTTGTCTGACATGATATGATGTGATTAACTGTGTGCTTATGATTAAGTGATTCTATCTTGAGTGCAAGTTAGGCAGAAGATTCTAGAAGCGGAGTTCAATGCCAATAGGGGAAGCAGGTTTCGGCATGGCTCTTCTATTTCCATCATCCCTTCTTCTGGACACTAGGTCAGGATTGGAGGGATGACTATTACCAGGTCTCTGAGGTCCAGAAACTTCCCATGAAGCTGTGGCTTGACTTTATGGTGAATGCGTGTGCATGCCCATGTGTGGGGCATGCTGTTATGCTCATCTTTCCTGAGCACATGTCCTTTTACTTAACTCTGCACCCTTGATTTAAACCAAATAGCTCACAGGTGGGCAGTGCTTAGCATTTATTCATTTGGTAGATATTTATTAAACACCAGAGTTGGTCACTCTACTAGGTACTGGGGATACAAAGATAAGTGCCTAGAATAAAACTGTATGTCATACCTATTGACCTTATTTATTTGTTTATTTTTTGAGTCAGAGTCTCACTGTGTCACCCAGGCTGAAGTGAAGTGGTATGCTCACAGCCACTGCAGCCTCAACTTGTTGGGCTCAGGTGATCCTTCCTCTTCAGCCTTCCAAGTAGCTGGAACTACAGGCGTGCGCCACCATGCTCAACTAATATTTTTTATTTATTGTAGAGATGAGGTCTCACCATGTTGCTCTGACTGGTCTTGAACCTGTGGGCTCAGGCAGTCTTCTCGCTTTTGCCTCCCAAAGTACTGGGATTACATGTATGAGCCACCACACCCGGCCACCTATTGACTTTAAATATAATTTCTAAGACACTGAAATAGAAAAACTAGCTTAATCTCAATGCACTACCAAAGATAACACGTAAATGTCATGGCACGCACTTCAGAAGCATTGTTTGCATCTCTGCACTTCTTATGCACACTTGTTTTTCCTACACAGCTGTTGAAAAATAGTGCACAAGGCCGGGTGCAGTGGCTCAGCCTTTAATCCCAGCACCTTGGGATGCCAAGGCGAGAGGATTGCCTGAACCTGCAGGTTCGAGACCAGCCTGGGCAACTTGGTGAGACCTCATCTCTACAATAAATCACAAAAACTAGCCATATGTGGTGGCGTGCATCTGTAGTTCCAGCTACTTGGAAGGCTGAGGCGGAAGAATCGCCTGAGTCCAGCAGGTGGAGGCTGCAGTGGCCGTGAGTGAGGCTGGGCGACAAGAATGAGTGAGACTCCAATTCAAAAAAAAGAAAAAAATAGTGCACAGACAAATCAACTGTGATTGCTAAAGAGATACCACTTCTTTAATAATTGTTTTCATTTTCTTGACTCTGTAGAGAAAAGCCTTGCCTCAGGGTAGCACTATAGAGTCCTGTATGTGTTACTTCACTTATGTCCACTCAGTAGTCCTGCAATATTCCATTTGCAAATGAGAAAACATGAGGCACAGAAAATTCAGTAACTTTCCCCTGGTCATTTGGCTCAGAAGAGGCAGAGCCCAGATATCCTTCACCTGGGAGCTGTCTGGTGCTTGGGAACAGTGGCCTTCTTACGACTGAAGCAGGCCCAGGAGACCCTGTTTCAGACTGAGCCTATCAGGACAGGTCTGACATACTTAGTAAAGCCCTAAGTGGAGCTTGAAGAATACTTCATAGCCATTAAAGAAGGCTATTGTAGGATACTGAAGGACGAGTTCATGCTGTATCATCAGGTTAGAAAACTCCTGTCAGTCATTATTTATGGTTTGATCCCATTTTTATTTTATTTTTAAAAATTACACAAAATGATATAGTTCAGTGTTTTCACCCATACTTAACCTTTCCTCATCTCCGGGGAAGTTTGTAAAAATGCAGGTGGTTGTGCCTCACCTTCCTGACAGCTTTCGTCAGTCAGATTCCTCCTCTGAACCACTGGGCACAGAACACCATTTGACTGACACTTCTCAGTCCTTCCAAGAATGCTGCATAGCCAGGACCATTCTGGTTAACTTATGATGTCCAGTAGGAGATTTTGCTATGCTGCCTGGTAAAAACCAGTAGGGGATAGTCCCATGCCATTCATTTTGTTAAAATATATACAGCCCAGTGGGAAAGCCAAGGTGGTGACAATGGCTATTACTGGATGACGAGATGATGGATAATTTTTCTTTGCTTTTTTCCTTCTTTTTCAGTTGGGTTTTTGCACAAATCTATTTTCTGATTTTCCTACACTATAACTCTTAATTTAAAAACATTAGAACATAAGGGTGGAATTTGGTATTTTTCTAAAAACAGGCAAAACTGCTGGTCAGAGTCCATTTTGCTAGATCAAGTCAGCACTAAGATGTCTTTTGGATGATGATAAAGTAGGTAAGTCCATGGTGAGATGGAAGGCCTGCCGACGGTCGTCCTGTGAACCCGTGCCTCTCCTGGCCCTTTTGCAGTACCACAGCAGCTTGGCGTCCCTGAATGGGCTGGAAGTTCATCTGAAAGAGACGCTCCCCAGGGATGAGGCTGCCACCAAGAGCAGCGGCTACAACTTCATGCATTACGACCGCATTCAGAGCGTGCTGACGGGTAAGGAACAGGTCAGGAGTGGGGCGCGTGTCTACCTCACTCTGCACAGAGCTGTCTGGCCTGCACTGAATTCCCACTCAGTGTAGAATTCACTTGGCCAGCAAGAGAATTAGCTTATTTGTCTTTTTTTGGTGTTTCCTAACATTCTGAGAGAAACTTACATATGTTCAATTATCTGATAAGGTCTGTCTGAGATCCGTTTGCAGAAACCAGGCACTGCTCGTTGTTGAGGGTGGGCATGTGCTCTGTCTCATGGTGGTGGCAGTGTCTCCACCCGGGGCATCCACACTCATGGCCTTGAGCTGTGCTTGGGTCTAGTGTTCAGTGCTGGGCTTAGAGAGGTGGTAAACCTTTTACAAGTTCTCTTTTTCTGGAAGCAAACCTGCCACAGGTGGCCACCCCACAGGATCGCCGCTTCCTCCAAGCCGTCAGCCTGATGCATTCTGAGTTTGCCCAGCTGCCCGCATTGTATGAAATGACTGTCAGGTAAGTCTCCCAGGGTTGCTGTCACAGACCTGTTCTCCACAATCCCACTTACAGGAACCGCTGAGCCAGGGCTGTCTCTTATGCCCAACTAGGTGAAGAATGTTCTAGCTACTTTACTCAAGGCCTTCCTGTAGCTACTTCTGTTGCTTCCACTCTCATGCCCTCACATGCCATGAACTTTTGGGGTCCCTTTCTGTTGTAGATACTTGGTGCAACAGTGAAGGAACCCAAAGTTCCCCTGTCCTCGTTGTGTCTGTTACTGAAAAAGGCAGCTCCTGTCTTCTGTCTCCTGCTGAAATAATATTGTTGTCTTTCCGGTTAGAAAAGCAATACCTGCTCACTGTAAAAGCATTGAGATGGCCAGGCGTGGTGGTTCAAACCCAAGCCTGTAATCCCAGCACTTTGGGAGGCAGAGGGGAGGGGATTGCCTGAGTCCAGGGGTTTGAGACCAGCCCAGGCAACTTGGTGAGACTTTGTCTCTACAATAAATCAAAAAATTAGCCAGTTGTGGCGTGGTGGCACATGCCTATGGCTCCAGCTACTTGGAAGACTGAGGCGGAAGGCTCGCCTGAGCCCAGCAGGTCAAGGCTGTGGTGGCCGCGAGTGTGCCACTGCACCTCCAGCCTGAGCGACAGAGTGAAATTCCGACTCAAAAAAAAAAAAAAAATTGAAACTGCTCAGAAATCTATCAAGTAAAACATTTTACTCTCCTTCCTCCCCATCTACACACCCAAGAAATAACCACGCTTACTTGTGTGGTTTTTATTTCTCCAGGTTTTATTGGTTTTGGTTTTTATTTTTTGCATATAAGATATAGACTAGTGACTGGTCTTGGTGGCTCATCCTGTAATCCCAGCACTTTGGGAGGCCGAGGCAAGTGGATTGCCTGAGCCCGCGGATTTGAGACCCGCCTGGGCAACTTGGCGAGACCTCGTCTCTACAATAAATAAAAAAAAACTAGCCGGGCGTGGTAGCGCGCGCCTGTAGTTATGGCTACATGGAAGGCTGAGGCGGAAGGATCTCCGGAGCCCGGCAAGTCGAGGCTGCGGTGCAAGTCGAGGCTACAGTGGCTGGGAGCGTGACACTGCATTCCATCTGGGAGACAGAGTGAGACTCCAACTCAAAAAAAAAAAAAAAAGATATAGACTAGCAGTATTTTTGTTTTAATTTTTTAAAATAGTCTTCTAGAAAATAGGATCCCACTAATGTGTTGCTTTACAGTTGCTTTTTTCACACTATTACATATCTTGACCACCATGCCAGTAGATATAGATCTATTTATTATTGTAACGTATAGTATTTAACCAACCAAATTCTGTTTTTTTCTCTCTACATGCTTCTCTTATGAAACCGGAAAGGGATTTTGGGCTTTAGGGATCACTTTATAAAAGCCCTAGTGGGCTGAGACCTGAGAATTCGGTGGCCAAAGGTAGCAGAAAATAAGGCAAGTTAGAGGGTCAGAGGGGAGTGCCTGCTATGTGTATATTAGTCCAATAGCCCTTGGAGTGATCTGGTCAAGTGCATCTTTTCATCCTCATTTTACAGAGGAGGAAATTAGAACACAACTAGCATAAATGACTTGTCCTGGGGCCACATTTTTATTACATGGCAGTTCCGGGATTTGAACTAGGTCTTTCTGTCTCTTTTTATTGTTGTTTTGATTTTTTTGTTTGTTTGTTTTTGTTTTGCTTTGTTTTTGAGTTGGAGTCTCACTCTGTCGCCAGACTGGAGTGCAGTGGCACACTCCCGGCCACTGCAGCCTCGACCTGCTGGACTCTGGCAATCCTTCCACCTCAGCCT